GTGGCTTATAGGTCAAGTCACCCCGAGCCATAGTTACCTCATCGGTAATACATGGGATTGGCTGTATGACTTCCAGCTCTCTCAGGTCTGTACCTCTGTGGCCCCATCTGAATGACGAAGTCTATTCTTGGCTGCTGGATGGAGAGTAGAAACTTCCTGCTCATGTCTTACTTGTCCTGTTTTGGAAGGACTCCAGATTTGTAAATCCCTTAAAGGAAGTACATGATTTTCAGAAATATCCTCAGGGAGGCCCTGAATTCTAGCCTAATTTTTCCATTGCAGCTATAAGCATGTAGCCTGAATTGGCTCCTGCAATCTCATAGATCTCTCCTCCCCAAACATGCTCACAGAGGCAAAGGATGGAAGATATGGATCCAGGGTGATTTCCCTCTGGTGTTTGCTGGCTCTGTAGCGCTTGCTAACCCTCTGTTCCAGGCCGCTGTTTGATTTGGCCTTTGTTGGCGAGGCTCCGGGTGGTGGGGCAGAGCTGCCATTCTGTATGCAGCCCAAGAGAGTCAACATTGAAAAGTCTGTTTGGTTTTTGGCCTCCACCTGTTGGAAGCTCTGTAACTGTTGCCATTCATAATAAGGAAGAAGGAACAGCAGAGGGATTCCTGTATTAGAACAATGAATGTTTTCACTGTGCCTCTAAGGGGGCCAATAATAGGAACTGGGCTTAAGTTAGAGTTGAAAGCAGCAAGTGAACAAGAAAAAACAAAGAAGTTACAGGTGCTAGGAGAAAGGATGCGACAGAGCATCAAGGTGACTCTGGAAGAGGGTACCTCGCTTCCTTGGAAGTGTCCCTGTGCCCTTCAAGTCAATTTTCTACTCCACTCACCCCTGACACTGGCTCTTCCCTGCCCCACCCCAGAGGAGGCAGCAACTCACAGCACAAGCATCTAAATGTTACTTACTCCACCGGTCAGCCCAGACCCTCCAGCCATTACCTATTTTCTTGGTTCATAGAGGAAACAGGGACTGTGATCTGGGAGCTCTGTGTCCATTTTCCTCCCACCACCTTGCTGCCATCCTCACTCATCTTTACCTCCTCCCCCTGCTTCTGAGACTTACGGGCTCCTCCTAAGCCCTTGTGCTCGCCAGTCCTTTCTGCCTCTTCTTATACCAGGGCCATTGACCCTTTCTCACTCACTCTTCGTTCTTTCTCTCTTCATCAGATTATTATTATTTTTTTTTTTTTGAGACGGAGTCTCGCTCTGTCGCCCAGGCTGGAGTGCAGTGGCCGGATCTCAGCTCACTGCAAGCTCTGGCTCCCGGGTAGCTGGGACTACAGGCGCCTGCCACCTCGCCCGGCTAGTTTTTGTATTTTTTAGTAGAGATGGGGTTTCACCGTGTTAGCCAGGATGGTCTCGATCTCTTGACCTCGTGATCCGCCCGTCTCGGCCACCCAAAGTGCTGGGATTACAGGCTTGAGCCACCGCGCCCGGCCTCTTCATCAGATTCTTAACCTCATCTACCAACCTCTTCCAGTTTCCTGCTTGGTTCTTCTGTTCCTCTCTCACACTATTTGTCCCCTCTACTGCCAGCCTCCTTGAGAGTGGTACCTCCTTACTTCTCCATTCCTCACTTCCATTTATTCCCAAACCATTGTGTTGGGGCTTCCAGCAACTCATCCAAAAAAAAAGAGAGAGAAAGAAAAAGAAAACAGAACACAACCAAAAAATACCCTGTTCTTGGGCCAATGACCTTCAAACTGCCAATTCCAATCCAGGCTTTGCCGTATGTATTTACCTTTTGTATGTTCACTCAACTATCATGGCTTAGATGCTTCTTACATGTCAGAATGCAGGCCAGGAGGACACCAGAATACCTCTAATAAAACCCAAGTGTCCTTTGGATGAATAGCCCATTAGGTTTTTGTCTGCCAATTGCTTTTCACTGTGGATGACTTTATGTGCCCTTTTCTGGAAGTTGACTGGGTCTGGGCAGGCAGAGGAAACTAGAGTCCACTGGCAGTCTGGTGATCAGGGAGTATGGGTTGGAGGACATAACAGCTTAGGGCCCCAGTGGCACACATTTCCTGGTGTTGACATGACTTAGCGGTGACCTCCTAGGGTGGCAGGGTTTGCAGCTGCTGTCTGGGGCTGCAGGCCCTGGTGCTAAACCAAGGCCATTCTCCCAGCAAGGAGCACAGTGGTAAGTCACTGGCGGCTGCGCAGGCTGCACAGCTGGGGAGCATGACCCAAGTGAGCTCAACACTGGCCAACGTCCTGTCCTTCTTTCATGGCTACTGTCTCTGTCACAGCCACCATCGTACCGAACTGCAATTGTCAATTCCCTGGCTGATTTTCTGTGACACTGAGAGCTCCTAGGGAAGCGCCTCGGTCCAGACCAGCTGTACAACTTGAAGGGTCCAGTGTAAAATACAATTTATATGGCCCCTTGTTCAAAAATTAAGAATTTCAAGCAGGTGACAGGAGAGCACTAAACTATGTATGAAGCCCTTCTAAGTGAGTGGCCTATGTCAAGGGTCGCCAACCCCTAGGCCACGAACCGGTAATGGGGTACTGGTCTGTGAACCCTATTGTGAACTGTGCATGTGAGGGATCTCGTTTGCACACTCCTTATGAGAATCTAACTAATGCCTGATGATCTGAGGTGGAACAGTTTCATCCTGAAACCATTCTCACCCCCCACTCCCATCCCCGGTCCATGGAAAAATTGTCTTCCATGAAACAGGTTCCTGGTTCCAAAAAGGTTGGGGACCTCTGGCCTATGTGAGTTCATAGGTCACATGCCCAGGAAGCTGGCCTTGCCTAGGTCTTATTCATCACCTAGAGAGTGCTCAATAAATCCTCATTGAATAAATGAGTTTGGGTTTCTCCTGCAACACTGAATCAGGAAAGCAGTGTAGCCATAGGGAAAGAGGAAGTGGAGATCCTCATCCTTCCCACGGTCCAGGCTAGCTCCATAGCCTGGGGCCAATCAGTGAATATCAACTGTGCCTCAGTTTCCTACATCCATACATGGGAAGAACCATCTTTTCCCCGTCGCTTTTCTGCCATGCACCAAGAGTAAAAGAGGCACAAATGTACAAGCTCAACTTGCAGCAATTAATGTGATGGCTCTGTGATTCTGAAGGACACCGTGAGGTGTGGTGTTCTGTTAAAGAAAATGCCAGCAAATCAGAGACATCCCCATAGAAACCAGAAGATGTGGTTAGTGTTTGTACCATGAAATGTCTACGTGTTCTGAGGTGGGCTAAAGGACAGTTGCTTTTCTTCCCTATTAAATAGGTGGTTAGACTCAGACATAAGGGTACAGGAAGCAGAACGGTGTCAGAGACAAAGACGACTGCATGGAGTTTGGTGAGAAACCATCCCCAAAGCAGCAATTTTTTGTATGAGTCTCAGCCTTTCTGAGCCTCTGTTATTCCAACTGCAAAGTGATACAATTAACAATAACAAAAATTTGATAAGAGCAAATACATTTGACATTTTTAATGCACCTGCTACTATTCTAAGCCCTTTAAAGATACACATTTATTTCGATTCATAGAACACCCCATGATGCAGAAGCTGTTACTATCCACATTGTACTGAGAAATGTGGAGAAAGTTCCAGTAACTTGCCAAGGATGTAGCTGGCAAGTTGGAGCACCGAGATTTGAACCCAGGGCTTTGGCCTCCAGAGTCTGTGCACTAACCACTATAATACCTCTGAGACTGTGAGGGGCAAATGAGTGACAACACATTGCTTTGGAAGTGAAAGGCGATCTAAACCTGCAAGTATTAACAGTATTAAAAACAACAATAACAATGGTGGGTACCTCCGATACCTCTGACTTTATTTCTCTGGTCACAGTTTTCTCCTCTGTAAAATGGGTGGGCAGGCTTTGCGTTGGATAATCTCTGAGGTCCCTTCCACTTCTCCGATTCTGATAATGAAAGGTCCTTCTTTCCTCACATAGGGCTGAGAGAAGGGCAAGCCACCGGCTTGCAGAACTTGGAGGCTGATACAGGGAAGCCTACCCAGGACAGAGCTGGAAAAGCCAAGGCACACAGTGGGGACACACCAGAGGGCAGGCCTCAGAACCCTGACAGCCTTCTGAAACTCTGGTGGGGTGGAGGGAGGTTGTGGGCTAGTGTCTGGCTGGGCTGCAAGGAGAAGAAAGGACTCCACAGAGCAATTTATAACAGCTGCTCAGTAAGTGCTCATTTGTTTCTCCCCACCTTGGAAGAGGGCTTAGTGTGTGTGAGAGGGGGATGCTACATAAACCAGCACTAGAACGATGGGCTTACCAGAAAGAACTGGGGCACTCTGCAGGGGCAGTGTCTGGGGAAGGGTTCTCCAAAAAAGGTGGCATTTCAGAGGGGCCTGGATGGATGAGTAGGATTTCAACAGGCAGAGATGAAAGGGGAGGGTGCTCCAGGCAAAAAGCAAGAACTCCCAGCAGCCGTGAAGAACAGCTGGTGTTTGGCAACAGCCAGTGTGTCCAGAGCAAGTGTTGTGTGTGTGTGAGGGAGAGAGGGTGAGGCTGGAAAATTAGGTTGTGGCCACAGTGGGCAGGGTGGGCCTTGCCTTGTGCACAAGGCTGAGGGGTTATCCCGCGGCCTGAACACCTTGGGAGGCCTTTGAAGATTTACTTAGTGCTTTATTAACAAATAGGTATTGGGCTTTGGGTTTTTGGTGTTTTGTTTTGTTTTTTAACGATTCATGCCCACAGTAGAATATACAGAAGAGTCAGAAAAGTATGAAGAATAAGATCCCCTTTTAGTTTCTGTTCCCAGAGATAACAGCTGGAGTGACGCCAGGCCGTTGGCGGGTTTTCGGGGTGCACTCCTAGACACCACCTCTCCGGTGAGTCAGCAAGGGCCAGACTGATGCCCCTCCTTGGGAACCTGAATCGGGGCAAGGGGCCTAGGGGACCTAGGGGGCAGAGGGGCCGGGGAAGCCCGACCAGTCAGGCAGGCTAAATCGGCAGGGGCCCCGCCCTCGCCACTCCCTGGCAGTCTCAGGTCGCGCCTGCCGGCCCGGACCCCGCCGCTCGGCGCGCGCACGTCCAGGAGGGCGCCCAGGGGGCGCCGCTTCCCCTTGAGCTCCGCTGGGGGGCTGGTCCAGCCGCGCGGATCCGGGCGGAAAGAGTCGGGCGGCGCGGGCGGCGGGGCAGGCGGCTGCTTGACAGCTGTGAGCCGAGCGGGCGCGCGGGCAGGTCCGCGGGAAGCGTACGCGCTCAAGGTAACGTGGAGGAAGGTTGAGGCTTGAGGGTGGGCACCCGGGGCGCGGCGCTGCCTGCCTGCTTCTCCGGCTGCGAAGTGTGAGCGCGTGTGTGCAGCACATGGAGTTCGCAGAGGGCCTGGCTGGAGGCTGTGTGCCCTTGGGTGGGAACAGCTGGCTCCCCTGCCATCCCCAGGCCTGGCCTGGCCCTTGCTCCCCTCCCGGTCACTCGGTAACGGGACTGGAGGGGAGCCGAGAAGCCCTAGGGTTTTGGTCAGGAAGGGACCTTAGGAACCCTCCAGCCTCATCCAGCCTCTTCATTTCACAGATGAGGAAACTGAGGCTCAGAAGGGTAAAGTGACTTGACCAAGGTCTCAGGTCTAAGAACTAAAACTCCTACCTTGCAGGTCAATGCTACTAGGAGCCCTGGCCACGCAGGCAGCACCCACAACTCTTGCCACGTGTAGAAACAAAGAACCGAGGCAGACAGAAAGACACAGAGAATCTCCCAGAGCAAAGGAAGGCGGTCAGGAAGTGGGCGGCTGCTGAGGCTTGGCTTCCGCCCTGGCCCCAGCGTGTGCTGGTCTGGCTGTGTGGCTCAGCGGCCCTGTGCTGACTCTGCCCGTGTGTGTGTGTGTGTGTGTGTGTGTGTACACGCGCCCGTGCGTGCTCGTGGTGTGTGTGTGTGTACACGCACCCGTGCGTGCTTGTGATGTGTGTGTGTGTGTGTGTCTGTGCACCCATGCATGCCCTGGATGCAGTGAATGTGCCCTGCCACGTGGGAAAGCCCTCTGAGTTCATTCATCTGCTTACAAGGTGTGCTTGGGAACTTGCCCTGTTTGGCTCTGTGGAGGACACCAGGAGTCTCAAAGGAATTCCTTCCGTGTGACTCTAGAGGACAGAAAGGGTCAGTCCGTGGGAGTCCCCAGGGTGGTCAGAGGTCAGGAGGAAGAACCTAACTCGTGAGGTGGTGAGTTCCTTGTCTCTGGAAGAAAACAGCATGTACTGAAGAGTCTTTTTATCAAGGATGTGGGCACAGGGATATGAAGTCAGGGCAGCTTGCTCCACGTGGAATCAGCATTTTTGTTGGAGGGTCCAGGGTTCATGCCCCTTTTCAGGTGAAATTAACATGCACAACCTTATGGGATAGTATTTGTCCATAAGAGCAACTTTTTGGAGTGATAAGTGAGGGGCTTCATGTATGGCTTCCGAGGTCCTGTCACCTCTCGGTTCTATACTGTTAAGCATGTAGAGGGAGGAAGGCGGTTACTTCTGGAAGGAGTGACTCGCAGAGGGCGTCCTGGAGGTGGCACTGAGGCCGGCCCTTGAACAGGAGTCTGGGTCTGGGCATCTTGGGGAAGGACGGCTGAGCAAAGCCGTGAAGGTGGGGTGTACCTGAGGAGCGAGGAAGAAGGTGGTGGACAATTCGGTAAGGAGTGCTGCCTGGGAGAGATGGCAGAGGCTTGGAGTGTTCGCCTCATTATTAAGCCTAGGGATGTTTTGATGGTTTCTAAGAAGGGAAGTGGTGTTTTTGATGCTGGATTCAGAAGAACATGTCATCTGCAGCTGGGTATGGGATGTCCTGCAGTGGAGGAAGCTTTGGGAACAGAACCTGGGAAGAAGCCCGTTGCAGTGACCATGAGGGGTTGAACAGAGCTGGTGGGAATGGACAGGAAGGGGCTAAAAGTCTTGGGGGTGGGGGAAAAGTCATCTGCTATGTGCCGGGGCCTGTGGTAGGAGATTTTCATATTTAATCTCATTTATTCCTCCTGACAGCCTCATGAGGAGATTGCTATGATCGTTCCATATTGTAGAGGAGGAAACTGAGAGAGAGGTTAAGTGGTTTATCCAAGGTCATATAGCAAATAAGTGGTGGGATGGGGATTTTAACCCAGAGAACAATGGAGTAGATGCAATCTGGTAACTGAATAAATGTCAGGGACTAGAGCAGAAGAGACCAAGATGATGGCGATTTGGGTTCCAGAGTTGGAGTGGTTGGTAATGCCACTGATGGAGATGGAATCCCAGGTGTGGGGAGTGATTGGAGATGTGTCAGCCTGTGGTGAGCCTGCAGAAGGCAGGCCCCAGCACCGCGGCAGTGGCCACAGTAGCCATCCATTCTGCCTTGGGGCTCCTTGTCGCAATAATTTGCTGAACCTGTTGTGGGGAAGGAGGGTTGAACCTGCAAGCTGCCTGGGTACTGGCAATGCAGCTGAGAGAAGTTAGGCTGGAGGAGAGCTAGTGAGGGATTCCTCAGGGACTGGCTGATCACCCACTGAGTTCACATCACTCTTGCTTTTCTTCCACACAAAATAATGTCTATTCTGTTGCAATGCACAGAGGACTCAGGCACTTGCCATGATACTTTAGGTGAGAATTAGTTCAGATTTTATATTTTCCAAGGCCCTGGTTCCCTCGTATGTTCCCCTAGAGAAGAGCTAAAAGATGCAATTGCCAATATTGCAGAATATTGCAGAATTCAGGATCCTAAGAGCAGGTCCAGGGCCTTTTACAATGTCATAGAATCACGGTGTTCTAGAGACAAGTCTACCCTACATTACGGATGGAGAAACTGAGTCTTTGCGAAATCACGGTCCTTTGTCAGCTGTTAGTGAGTGGCAGAAATGGGCCCAGGCCCTTGGGCTCCAGAGGTTTTGCTTTCTCCACTGACACACAGGGAGGCTGCTGTCTTGCAGAGGAGCCTCCAGGGTTTCCTATAAAATAGCCCTGGGGGCCGGGCGTGGTGGCTCACACCTGTACTCCCAGCACTTTGGAGGCCGAGGCTGGGTGGATCACCAGAGGTCAGAAGTTCAAGACCAGCCTGGCCAACATGGTGAAACCTCATTTCTACTAAAAATACAAAAATCAGCTGGGCATGGTGGCAGGCACCTGTAAGCCCAGCTATTCAGGAGACCAAGGCAGGAGAATTGGTTGAACCCGGGAGGCGGAAGTTGCAGTGAGCTGAGATCATGCCATTGCACTCCAGCCTGAGTGACAAGAGCAAGACTCCATCTCAAAATAATAATAATGAAAAAAAAATTTTTTTAAAAGCCCAGGGGACAATTCTATAGACAGGTTGATGGTCCATTTCAAACTGGTACACTTTTTGTTCCTACCAACACAACACACACACACACACACACAAAGAAATAGCAACAACAACAAAAACCAGCACATTGTTCCACTCATCCGTCTGTTGGTCATTTCTTTGCCTTTTCAAATTGCTTCCTTTCCTCTGAGAGAAATTTGATAAGGCACAGTTTAGTTAGAGCTGTAAAGGGTTCCATCCAAGTACAGGGTCAGGGGGAAGTCCCAATAAAGCCAGACGGTACCTGTGTGCACCACCAGAATCCTAAGGCACGGGCAGGGAAGCAGGAAAGGAGAGGATGGCTGTAAGGATCGAGGAAGGAGGAGAGACAAAGTGCAGAGAAAAAGGAAAAGAGGAAAAGCTGAGTTTGTGCGGCAGACACGTCAGTGGCATGGGCATAGCCTACTTGGGGACCTGTATTTTGGGAACCTGGCTCCCCAGTACTCAGAGGCAGCATGAAGCAGGGAGATAACCAGGTGGACATGAAGAAGCCAAAGGGAGTCACTCTAATAATACATCATCCAACCTCGGGCACTGCCGGGAATAAAAGGGGGAATATTCATAGCAATGCTGGGACCACAAGCATAGCCAGGATGTCCCAGGCAAACTGGTCACCTTCACAACAGCAATGCACAGAAAGTGCCAAGCACAGCCCAAGGGCTGTCCGTGTATTCCCTTGTGGAAGCCTCACTGCAACCCAATTGGCTAGGCACTGCCATCATGCCCATTTTATAGAAAAGTTAACTGAGGAGGAGAGAGGCACAGTATCATGTCTACGGTCACATAGCCAGTACACGGTTGAGGCAGGATTTGAACTCAGGCAGCTTGGCTGTTTCAGAGCCTGCACCATAAGCGTCATGCTCCACTGGCTCTCTACTCACCAACAGCATCCACACGAAGACACCCCCTTCCCCTCACAGGACTCAGCAGAGGGACCTTTGGGGTCTGTTTCCCCTCACAGCTGCTCTAACTGGTCAAGTTAGCATGATGTCATCCGGATGACATAAACAAGTTTGCGGTCAGGCTGAGGTGAGGGGGAGGACAACCTTCAGTCGGGTTCGTCCTCTACAGGCTCCACACCTTGGACACAGTGCTCAGTCTTGGCCTCAGGTCTTGGAGTTCTCAGTCATCCTTGCCTTGTAACTGCTCTGCCCTTTCACTGAAGGCTGAGTTAGATATAGGAAGGACCTCCTGAAGTTCAGTGTTAGGGACGGGTTCCTCTAGGACCTCGTCTGCCTGGGGCAACCAGAGGGTGCCACCCTGTGATGACCAAGTTATCTCCAGGGCCTCTTCCAGCTTGAGGGCTATAGAATTTTCTTTTGTGACAGATTCTTCAGGAGACAGTGCATGCCCCTCGTCAGTGTGTTTTGGCTCCCAGCCCTGGCTTTCTCAGAATGCCAGCAAGACACTTTCTTCCCTTGTCTGTTGACATATCCTGGATGGGGCTGGCCAAGGGAGGCATTTATAGGGCAGCAGGCTCTATGGTGGGTGGAGTCTGACTCTGGGTGATGCTCCACGTGTTTCTAGAAGATGCAGGGAGGTAGGAGCAGGCAAGCTTCCCCTGTGGTTCAGATTCCAAGGGCCTCTGTCTGCACCCCATCTGTGCTGAAGCTCCCTCATTCACACAATAGAGCTGCTCTGCCTGGGGGTGGACAAATGTGAGGCTGGGCCTGAGAACTTGTTGGAAAGTGGAAACGGCGTTTTACCCAAGCAAATTCCAGCAGTGAGGTTGGATAGGCTTGACACCCAGCCCTGTGCTTGTGGTGTACCCCTGAGCCTGTGGAACGCTGTGCCCTTCTGGGCTTAGTTAGAGGAAAGGTGAGAAGGTTGAGACGTAGCACACATGAGACAGGTGCACCAGGACAAGCTGGAACCAGTGGGTGTGGCTGCCCTCCTCCCAGAACCTTCACTTGTATTTCTGTGAAGTAAAGAC